ACACACACACACACACACACACACACACACACACACACAGCCTCACCTCTGGTTTATCAGGATCAGCAGGCCTGTTGTCCTCCAACTGTCTCATCAAAGTTTTGTCCTGGTAAACTTCAGCCAGACAAATCCTGCAACAGATCTTCAGAGTTAAAGCTTCACGAGACTCCGTTTAATAAAACAGTTTGGCTCCTCTACCCACCTGTAGTTTAGGTACGTTTGAGAATTTCTCAGGATGTATCTTTTGCGACGTCCGACAGCGACAGATGTTTTATCCATGGAAATCTGAAACTCCTTGTGGAGCAGGTCTCTCACGATGAAGTGCGGTATGAATGGCCTTTTTAACTGTAAAACATGTAAACGTATAGTTATATCTAAAAACTATGTGTGAATAGAAAAAATATATATAAACAGCTAAAATACAGCTTCATATTTAATCCGAATCTTACGCAACTTTAGTTTTTTTCTATTCAGTTTAATTCAGGCACCATTGTCATTCATAAACACATTCTGTCAGATTGATGCTAACAGCAGGGGTGAAGCCACCTGATTGGCCACCTCAGGTGTCCCCACCACCAAATAACTGAAAAATAGGTGGGGATCATGGATTTTGTTTTTACATTTATATTCTGTTAAAGATTGTTCTCTGTTACTACTGTATTATATACATTTTCAGTTGTGTATGCATAAGTTGTGACTGGCATTCAGCATTATTTTTGATCATTTTTAGCTACGATCACACAAAACTTTAAACGTAATATTTCTTAAAACATCTGACTTAAAGCCACTAGGAATCAGCTGTAGTTGCCATCTTGAATTTTAAAACCCAAAGGGCTTTTCTTTATGTGTGCCCACCTAAAAATCGTTTTGGCCACTACTTGCAAAAAGTCTAGCTCCGCCCCTTTTTAGCAGAGAAGCAAATTTTTCCTCCATCCTTGGATAACGCATTCTTTATACAGGCCAGGTTAGGTGTAAAAACGTAATGTTATGCATATAACTACTGTTCCCTGAAGGAAAGGAACGAGGTACAACATCATGTATGGGAACCACGCCCCTGCGTGTCCT